CCAACAAAACATAGGTCTTTGGAGAAGGCTGTATATTTCTTCCTGCCAATCTAAGAGATTGGTAATAGAAGATTTTGGTGGCAACATTTTTCCTGTATTGTGTGACAACAACCCAGCACTGGCCTGCTTGGCAGTGTAGCAGCTGAGGTGCAAATGTGGAGGCCTGCAGAGGTACCCGGTTTGGTGCTGGTCTTCAGGGCTTTCAGAGAGGAAGGCAAACCCTATCGCCACACAGTGGGTCAGGGGGAAGGAAAGTGACTACTTGTGAAGAGGTTTTCATTGAGATGTGATTGCAGCCAGACTCAGTTCCTTGAGTGTACCTAAGGCTGCGGTATCTGGTACGTATTGCTTGATATTGTTTGTTTTTACTTTTGCCTTGTATCATTCTATAAATCTTAAACTTAAAAATGGTAGTCAGCACATTAACTTACTGGCTTATACAGTGTACTTAGTAAAGCTTACTGAAGATTTCTGTTTCTTGTTTTTCATCTCCATAAATTATTTGAACTGCACCATTTATTAGAAAATCTAGAAGTATCGATGAGAAATTAGTATGAGGCTTGAGTTTATTTGTTTTCAGAGAACACCTAAGTCTATGCATCTGTAATTGAGGGAAGAACAAAATGGTATTTTATGCTAGCCAAGACAGAAAAATTCCAGTGAATGATTGTGGGGAGAACAGCATTCACAAAACAAACAGTCATCAAATCAAATAACTGTTCTGTTTTGAGTCAGAGTGAAGTGTTTCCAAACAGGCAAACACTAGAGAAAAAGAAAAAAGAAAAATAAAGATGAGAGATTAAGAAAACAAAATGTGTAAGTAAACGTAAGAAATCAGAGCATGCACAGTACAGAGAAGTAGCAAGCAGGGGTGCTGCTCTCTCATCTTTATATCTATAGATACATATATTTGAATTCACAATGCAATAGGAGCCTTACATGCTGGATTTGCTTTTTAATGCTTGTTGGTTAAGTAATTGGATCTATTGCTGTGGGCACTGGGAATGCCAGCTTGGTGTTTACAGTCACTGTCTTGAGAGCATTACCTTCTGGAGATCAAACACTGGTGAGCCTGTTCTGTTTAATCTTGGAGGTAACAGTCATAGTGGTTAATGCTCTGAAAAAAACAATCTAGATGTTCCTGCCTTTCTCTACTTTGTTGCTTGTACTGAATTGCCTATATATATGTATGTATTTTTTTTCATCTCAGAATTTTTTCTTTTTTCGAAATCACAACTGAAGTTGGTTAAATAATGATCAGAGGTTGAAGTATAAATGCTAGTGTTTTTGATGGTATTTTGGTACAAACATCCTGCTTTCACTCCTTGTGGTGATCAAGTCAGCCAGACATAGACATAGGCAAACAGTTCCAAATAGGAAAAATAAGTGTACTTTCAACTTGAGGAAGAAAAAAAAGTGATGTGAGTGATGCCAAACTATTCATGATGAATGCTGATGGCTATGTAATGTCAGCACTGAGTATGTCTGCCTTCTCTGCAAGGGAACTCCAGAGTGACTGAGTAAAAACATCCTACACAAAAGGACAAATGGTCTCTTTAGTGAGTCTCTCAGTTCACATGCCTGGTCTTGCTGTTTGGGCAGTGCTAAGTTTAAGTCTCTGTGGCAGAAAGGGAAGTTTTGGGGTCTGTGTGGTTTGTGATTTCTGGTGGCTTAGTGTGGTTCCTTTTTGTATGAATCCTTTCCAAGAAAAAGAGGAGTTGTCAATTATCAAGTTTCTTCCTAGGAGCCTGTCATAATGTGTAGTATTTTAATGCTAAAAATGAAGTGAAACAACCCATAGATTTTGTGATCTGCTACCAGATTTGCTGGAGTTAAAGAAAACCAGTTGTGGCATCGGTGACTAGATTTTCTCCTTTAGGATTTATGTTCTTGGGTGGTTCAGATGGCAGAAACTGTACTTCCTTGGTATTTCTCACCCTAAAATCCACCATGATATAGCTGCCACATTGCCTATATGAAAGATTCAATTTGAACTGATTTGAAAATTATTTTTTACTTCCAGTGAATAGCCTTCTTTTGCCATACTGCTCTTTAAAAATGCTTCATAAACAGCTGCACCTGCTGTTGGGCTGCTTGTGATGTGTGACAGTCTTACTCTGTCAAGCTAGGAGTGGTGTTTTTCTAGAATTAGGAGAATTCAGACCTCCTTAAATCGGGACTTGTATTTGCAACAAATTTGAGTATTTTTACCTCTTGCCAGAGAGTCTTATTTTTAATCTGCTGCTCTGTGACTTGGTCGGGGCAAGCAGTGTGCTGTATATCTGTCTGCAGTTGTTTGGAATTGATGCAGTGTGCTGTGTGTTGCGCTCAGATTTACAGCCAAGGTAAAAGGAACAACCACTTGTTACCATCTTCTCCCTCCCCCCTAGTGATACGTCAAACTGCTCAGTGTTCCCTCAGAACACTGGGCTGCTCAGAACCAGAGGAAGTGTGCTAAAGAAATCAGCGAGTAGACCCCCAAATCCATTACCTCAGGTCTCATTTTCTTCTGGGTTCTACATTTCTGTCTTGTTTTGACCAGGGCTTTTTCACTGTTTTGTGATGGGGAAGAACTACTGAAGATATATCTGTTTACCTGGCCTTGCTAAAACTACTAATCCCTCAATTTTTCCTATTTTGCAATTCACAGAAGGGTGTATTCCTGTATTTCTTTTGGCAGTTAACTGTACCATATGTTGTTCTCCTTGTCTTTACTTCTGTCCTTAGATGGAAAATTGCTATGAGCTAGTTTGGAATTTGTTACTTTTAATTACTAGAAGCAAAATCCTACTTTAGCAAAGCTCCTCTTTTTCATTTCCTTCCTGACGGTATCTTTGCATCACCGTTTCCTGACTGACAGACCTCTTAGTAGCTAGAGGAGGCAGATTACAATTCTAGCAGAAAGAGGTGCCTGACAGATGCAGCTGTCTTCTCCAGTGCTAAGTGTGATAAGGGAAAATGCATTTCTGAGTTGGAGTTAGGAAAGAAAAGACTCCACACTGGTCCTTTGCGCAAAATTCTGCCTGTTTCTTTTCAAAAGACACAACTTCTGTCATGCAACGGAGTAGTTTATGTGTCACTATGAAGTCTTTGTTTACAGATATACTCAAACAAAAATCATACTTCCTCTAAAAGTTAGTAAGTTGCATTTCCACAGGTTGAAGAATCTGGAGTCTATTAACTTTGAAGTTAATTAGTGAGGCTGAGTCTCTAATAAGAGTACCTATTGCTTAGACTTCTTTGCTTTAATTTAGTTGCTAACATGGGTTGCCAGCAGTTTAATCCTAAAAGAAAAAAAAAAAGAAAATATTGGGAAAAAAAAAGCAAACCAGCACTGTGGTATTGAATGTGCTGTTGGCATTATTTGATATTTTGCCTAAAAAAAGCCAGTATAGTTGGGGAAAAGTAGTATCACAGACAAAACAAGATGTATGATCAGGCAATGAGAATGGATAATTGCTTACATAAGATGTTCATCTTCTGATGTTCATGCAAGCAAGATCATTTGAAGCGGGTGCCCTGAGCAGCTGGTGCGGCTCTCTGATTTTCACCTTTCTAGGATATAGATTTGAATAGTTCCATACTGTTGTGGTTTAACACAACAGGTGGCTAAGCACCATGGAGTCTTTCACTCGCTCCCCTCCCCCTTCCCAATGAGATGAGGGAGAAAATTAAATAAACAAACAACAATGACAACAACAACAAAACAAAAAAAATAAGTAGAACTCATGTGTTGAGATAAAATTACTTATAAGATAAAGACAATATGGCAACATAGGTAGGTAGATATAGTCAAGACTATATAAAACAAGTGATACTCAAGCAATTGCTTACCATCCAGCAACCAATAACTACCTAGCTCCCCAAGCAGCGGAGAAGGGCCAGATGAACTCCTACCCTTCAAAACTCTCCTTCTGCGTTAAGTTATATGGTATGGAATATCTCTTCAGGCAGTTTAAGTCAGCTATCCTGATTCTGTTCTGTCTCAGCTCCTTGGCCCCCACACCAGCTCTTCACTGAAACACTGGAATGACCTTGGCTCTGTACGACACTGCTTGGCAACAACCATAAACATTGTTGTGTTATCAACATTGTTTTTCTTCTAGAACCAAAACATAGCATCATACCAGGCACTCTGATGAAAACAATTCCATCCCAGCTGAAACTGAGACATTGATCACAAAAGTAAAGAACCCTCTATGTTTTGAACTTGAAGGCTTCCATGCCTTCTAAACTAAGAAGTCCTTTTCCTTCAGAGTCAGCCTGTGATCTGTGGTAGATGCATTCTCCATTTCCAAGTCAGGCATGCATTAACCTTTTTTTTTGACTTCTCTCACTTCTGAAGTAGTTTGCAGGGTCAGGGCACAGCCTGTTGAGATTGTGGTTGTGGAGGGTCTGGTTTCAGGTCCTTCTGTAGGTATGTATCCAGTAGTTCTATGGATTGGAACCCGCCTCTCTGTTCCTGGAAAGTTTTATTGCCCTTCTCAGCTCTTCTGTTTAGTGACCTGAAGCCAGCATGAGGTCTAGCATAATCTTCATTGTCCATTAGTAAGAGAAACTGTGCTTATTGTCAAGAACAATCCCATGATACATGTTACTATAAGCAAATAGATGGGATTTCCTGTCTGTTGTGCAAACAGGCTGATGTCTGGTGTCCCAAGTTGCTTACTGGAGTTGAAAAGGGTGAGATTTTCTCTCTTGCAGTTTCAGGGCACTTAGCAGCCGTCTCTGGTTTGTGCCCACACATGGGAAGTTTAGCTGCATTCTTGCACCCTACTGGGAGAGCTTTCAAAGTCCTTTGAACAGGCAGGAAGGATCTTCTCTTTCTTCACTGGGTTGTCCTGTTTGTTATTGCCTGGGAGGAAAGGGGAAACAAGGCTGTCAAGAGGCTTCATTTTCCGTACTTCGTTGAGATGGCACAAGCTTTCAAATTTCATTTTGTTAATGGTGTTACATGTGTTACTGAGCATTGCAGGTGTTCTTTCCTTTTGTGTTGACAGAAGTCATCAGGAAGTCTACTTCTGTGACTGGATCTTTGATAAGAAGAGTTGAGATACTTAGCAGTTTAAGTGCAAGATGATTGGTTTGAGCTTGTCATGCCACGGCAGTTTGTTGGCCTGCCCTCCGCGAGAGTGCAGCAAGAAGAAGCAAGGTACATGCACCTCTGTGAGTACTGCTGAAGTGGAAGTTCTCTGGCTTCCAGCGTTTGCGCAGTAAATTCAATGTCAACATGAACAGACTGCAGATCTCAGAAGAGTTAGAGGTAAATAACCTTTCTTTTTGAGGTTTCTGGAGTGAGTTGCAAAGCCGAGGGATTTCTTTGAGTTTTTGCCCTGTCATGAATTGGCAGGTGGCTTGGGAGGAGGTAGTCCTTGATCATCTGGCAGTGCCAACAATGAGCTTTGAACTATATAAGCTTTTGGAAGCTAGGGGATGTATCCCGTGAAGACTTAAGAGTCCTGTCCTTTCTGTGGCTGCCGATCTGCTTTATTTTTATTTGGTTATTAAAAGACAAGTTAGGTGTCTCAATCCCTCTGTTAGTGTATCCCAGGAAGCTAGAAAAAAAAACATGACTCCCCAAGGAAAAATAAATTCTGAATTATACAAAAGAACGCCCCCACCCATTTTCTTTTCCTTTCCCAAATGTGGAGTAATCTTGAAGTATGCAAATAAGAGCCTGGATCTTGAGATGTTATTGATTAGCTGACAGAAAGCAGTGACGATTCTAGTATGATTTCTGCTGTCAATAGCATGTGTACAAATTGTGAAATTGGCTGTTACGGTGACAAAAAAATCTGGTAGAAAAGAAGTTGTTATGGAAAGTTCAGGAAAACCACTCTGTACAAAGGATTTGGGGAGCTGAATTCAAAGGCAGTCAGTCAGAATGTGGTTGGTAGCACTCTTCAGGAGCCACAAATTCTACTCCACGGGAAATTCCTGTATCTTTCAAAACTTGTCTAACATAAAGCATTGCACTGGAAGAAACTTCTAAGTCATCCCAATTTCTAGATTATTTCCTTCTTCTTCTGAAGTTTTAATCAGTAGCATTTACCTTGAGAGCAGGATACTGGCAAGAATTGAGGAACAGATGGGTCAATCTAGCGGGGTAAATCCTTTTGCCACATATAAACGCCAGTTGTGAGCAGAGTGAGCTTGTCATGTGAGAGCTGAGGTCCAGTGGAGAACGCAGTGATGATTGCAGGTGAGAAATGACCTCGTGGTCTGTCTGTGGTGAAAGTAAACAGAACGGGACTGTCTAGTTTGAGTGTCTGCAGTAGGCTGCTATAAAATAGCTTGAGTGAGGCTAATCAGGAAGAATTTTTGTAATGCAAGTACTGAGGGGGCAGTTTACTATCTTGGGTTGCAGGCTTGCAGCAAACAACGTACACATTGGGAGGGAGATTACATGTAAATTGTGGAACTCAGTGCTGGAGATGTGAATAAAGAAAAGACCAAACCGAGAGCAGGACAGTCCTGCCTCTGTATCATAAGTACTTGGGCAGCTTTATTAGGAAGACCTCCGTTATGAATTACTGTAGCGACACCAAAGGAAACTTAGTAAACTACATACAGCTCAGAAGAAAATATGACCAGGTTGTTTTTTTCCCTGTTCAATTCTTTGTTACACAAGTTGAGACAGGCTATGATTGCCCTGGAGATGGATCTTCCCAGCACATGTGCTGCTGTCACTGCAGCGTGCCTGTGGAGCAGGCAGAGCTCAGCAGCAAGCGCTGAAATCTTCCATGCAGGACCTAGTACTGGGCTTACTGACATAAAGCAGAACTACTGCAACTGCTGCATGAAGGTGCTTTAAACAGTAGGTACACACATGTAGAAGTGTCTAATAGCCTTTTGTGAGTGTACTGGGCATTGTTTTCTGGTTAAAATGGGATGTGGATTAGATTTTATTATGAAACTATTAGCTTTAATAGGCTAGTCAAAGGGAATCTCAATGTGTCTAAATTTTGGGAAGTGATTAAACATACCCTTAATTATATTTTCCAGGTTTGAATAGCTGGAGGACTGTTCTTCCTGGCTCTGTCTCGATCTTAGCGAAATCGGTCACTTTGAATGAAACTTGACTGGCAAAAATACAGTCTTGGCACAGTATCATCATATAATTGAATCTTCTTTATTTTTAATCGAAATGTCAGCTTAAAAGATTCAGTGCTTATTTTTAAATTGCATTAACGTTATATTCAGATCTTTTCATAAAGTTCTAGGTGTGCGATTGCATTAAAAATAGGTAGCTAGATATAAAAACATGAAGCCTTAATACTTGCTTAGTAAACATTCAGAGTGCAAACAGACACCACAGATAACATATGCAAATAAAGATATTCTGGTATATTTTAAAAGTGTCACAGGCATGAGTGACACACATCAGGCTATGCATATTATTTCTGAATCACACTGATGGAGTGTGCACTCTTGCCCTTATTTATTTTTACTTATATTCCCATGCCATTTATAGTTTTTTCCTTCAATTTTACAGAAGAAAAGTTAGCATTAATTTTATTGCTAAAACAACTGCTACGTTAACTGTAATGGAATGCAATAGTATGCTGTGTACCAGAAAATCTAGATGTCGGGAAAATGTTAATTCCTACAATACAAGAAATGCAAAGTATGTATAATTTATCATAATTTATTTTGCTGGTTCTAGCAAAAAAATCTATATTAATCTACGCACACAGTTTTAGAAGAGTTAGTCATTCCTACAGGGGAGCCAAGCAACTTTCTGCTTTCTCCTCAAGCAATTGAGGTTGCTCTCAGTAATCAGACAAGCTCTGTGCTTGGCACTACACAGTTTGAGATGCGCACTGGGATGGGGGTGTCTGAAGCTGTATTAGTCAGTGCTGGACACTGCATTGGTAACATAGCTGTCACAAGTTTAGCAGCTTGCCTTTTCTGAACTGGGGTTAGAGGAGGCTGACGTGGTTATTTGTGTCAATTTTTGGCTGCTTAAGGAGGTAATGAGAGCAAGCCAGGGAAAACATGCTCATACTCATTCATGTAATTATGCATAAATAGTTTCTAAAGTCCTACTCAAATATGCACGAGAACATTAGTTATATCTTTGTCCCTCCCAACTGGCATCCTGTTAAATCTGTTAAAAAGTATAGCCCACAATCTAATGTGTGAATGAAAATTACAGTCTTAAATAACAGACAAGGGAAGAATCAAGATAGCATTTTATTTATTTGTTTATTTTTGACCAGCCAGAAAGCAAGCCTTATTTTTGGTTTTGGTCACATTAGGCTGTGCTGAACATTGGCATGAAGCAGTTCAGTGATAGCATTTTTCTATTCTTTATTTAAACAGGCACCTTCCCAGAAGAGAAACAGTCAAAATCTGCAGTTTCCTACGAAATGCTGTCTGAGAACTGCTGAAAAAGAAGGTACGTGATAGAAATTAGAGGCTTAAAGAGTGACACAGAGTAGAAATACATGCAAACAACAATGTATACTATAGGAAATCAAATAGTCTTTTTCAGTAACTGTATCCTAAATTGGAAAACTTTTTTTTTTCCCCAGAGTCGTGCCCTGTGTTTTATTTTAATTACTGCTAAGGGAGAGTGAAATGGATCAATAATGAATTTTTTTAATTAAAAAAATAGCATGAAAAGCTGTATATTCTTAAAGCAGGGAAATAGGCAGCAGAGCCTTCACTTGGTTACACAAGGCTGCAAAGAATTACCGGGTTATCACTTTGTGCTCTTCCATGTTCTTCCATCCACAGCTGCATTTTACTGTTCTTGGTGGTGGTGTTTTTTATTTTTAAATAATGAAATGTTTCCAGTTGGTATTATTTTGCTACTGCTTTGCGCCTGCTCTAGATCATCTTCACTTTTTGTTTTTTTCCTTCTCTTTTTTAAGCTGTACTTAAGAAAGTCATACAGCGAGTCTATCTATAGTTGAGTTGTTCAGGGACAGCTGTTGTTCACATGTGGAAGCACAACAGCTGCATTTCTGTTGTGCTGCCTGGCATCTGGCAACTGTCTGGCTTCCTGGTATACATAGCATTATTTTCCCAAAAGCTATACAAGAAGCCCACAAGCCAAATAAAATTCTGGTCTCTGTTTCAGATGTAGCTTGTTAATTCAGCCTGGTTTTGCCAAAACACGTGTGGCTTTTAAGCAGTCCTATCTGACTTGATGCCAGAAGCACTGTACTCTTGCTGTGTGCTTCTGCTGAAATGGGCAGCAGACTGTTCCCTGTCACCTCCCATCAGATGTTTTAGGTCCTTTAGTGAACAAAGACAAAATTTTTAACAATGACTACTGGACTTGATTACTCAAGTTGAGTTGCCCAGAAAATGCCCATTTTTCTTTCAGGGGTAATGACTTCAATCTAACCCCATTCCTTTTCCAGGGGCTCCTGCTGGGCACTCAGACACCAGCCTCCTCCTGCCCAAGATTAGCTGCCACTTGTGAGATTTTTAGATGTGTTGATGGTAGTTTCTACAGCTTCAGTGCAAAAGACCACCTTCCCCTTGCAAGGTACTTGAGTGCCTCTGTGATGAGAAGATGACACACCACTTACTGCCATTCCACAGACAATGAGGTGGTTGGCAGACCTCCGGTTCGGAGCGATTGCACCAGTGTTTTATTAGCTCTCAGAAAATATATAGCAGAGAAGAGGCACAGTGCAGGCTCCCACACAGTCTGCCTGCGCTCTGACCTCTCGGGCAAGAGGCTGCATTGCTTTTACAGCCTGTACTTAACCTTTCTGCTGAGACTTGTCAACAAGGAAACCAATTAGCAGCAGATATGATGGCAGATGATATAATGCAGATGTCTGTTTGTTATGAACACAACTGATATATTTGAACACAGCATATATTTTAAAACATAGCTCTGCATTAATGACACCATCTCACAAAAAAAATCAGTCTCTACAGTTGTTTTAAAGAATATCTTTTTTGAGGTTTTTTAAAGTCTCTGTCTTGAGCCCTGCTCTGCTGGACTCGTGCTGACTGTGACAAGTGCAGGATTATAAGAACTAATTCCTCTAGAAAAAAGTCTACTTTTATTATTTTGCTTAGAGAGGTTGTGTATGCCCCGTCAAGGTGTTCAAGGCCAGGCTGGATGGGGCCCTGGGCAGCCTGGTCTAGAGTTAGGTATGGAGGCTGGTGGCCCTGCGTGTGGCAAGGGGTTGGAGATTCCTGATCCTTGAGGTCCCTTCCAACCCAAGCCATTCTATGATTCTATGATTTAATTTTATATGGGTGGTATATTCAAAATATACAAAACTGCATATTGAAAGCAGGGCAGTCATTGCCATCTGAAGTGGATCCAGTTACAAATTGAGCTGTTTTCTATATATGTGCAAATGTATATTGGTTTATGTATCAGAAAAAGTTCAGGGAAACCTGATTTAACTGATTAAAATTGTACAGGTTTGCAATCACTTTATAGCCACCTCCTTTTAAGGACAGTGGCTTTGTGATGTAAGTAAGTATGTGATATTGCCTCTGTGTGGGTACAGATAGAGTTCCTCTGTCAGAAATATGTTGGGCTGGGGGATGTGCTTTTTAGGGGACAGTTGGGTTGAGGTTTGGCCTGATCTTTTTTAGAAAGGTTTAGAGTAAGATTCAATAGCTGGAGCTTCTTCTAAAGGACTTTATTGCCAGCTGGCTCAGTATATAGGCAGAACAATTCAATCCTCTGCTCTGTCCATTCCTAGAGAAATTGTTTTCTTTGGATGAGAAAACATCAAATTCTGCAGCAGTGCATACCAGAACAAGTAGGGATACAGGGATGCGCTCACTTCCTGAGGCAGCCATGTCTCCTCTGCCAGCCAAGATTCTCTTTGACTCACTCTACACATTCTTTGCTTGTTTGGACTGAACGTTTGAATCAACATCTTAAACCATTTTCTTATCGCTGAACAGTCAATCATTTACAACAGAATTTGCAATTACTGTTTTAAAACCATCAAGATATAATCAGGGCTTGGTAGATTAATCTCTGAGAAATCCTTCAAAATCAAACCAGAAAACAGCCCAAACCAACCTGGAACAACACAAAGTATCACTTTTACATTTCCTTTTACAGGGCCAGCAAGAAAAAGACCATCATCTCTTCTTGAGCATGACTTCTTATCCTCACGTCAAAATTAGAGAAGCCTTTTCATCATATAACAGCAAAAGGAGGAAGAGTGGATTCAACACATGAGCTGCTACCTGCACCGCATATTCTACAAGGTACTGATAGGAAGCCTGAAAATTAGTACTCCAACCCAGTAGAAAAACAAGAACTTTTCAGTTCATTGGACCTTCATACGGCCCCAACTGAGGGCAAAAGGCAATCCAAGTATGTTTAATGCTAACATTAATTTATCTGAGGATACTTTTTATCTAATGCAAACTTAGATTTCCCCCCCCCCCCCACTTATTACAAAGGCATTCTTTTAAGATGTTAGGTATTTCTGCATGTTCAGTGGGACCTCTGCTTAACCAGAGCTTTCCTTTTCCACTTGAACTGTTAATATCTTCCCCTCTTTTCTGTGCATCTTGTCTTGTAGGAATATACTTTTCCTCCCCCACATCAAGCCTAAAATCTGTTCAAGGTGAAATTAGAGGAAGAAAAACAAAAAGGAAACGAGGGATATAGCCAACCTTTTTAATTAGAGTATATTGTACTTCCAAACTGGATACACTAGAAATTGGCAATGCAACATAAGATGCAAAGGAATATACCAGTTACTGTCAAAATGACCCTGTACAGCCTTATAATGCAAAAAGCTTTATACAATACAAACTTTTAATAATGTACACAGACCTTGACAGAATGATATTTGAACATAATACACCAAATTAAAAAAATACAGAAGAAAGAAAAAAGTGCTGAGAACTTTAACTGAAGTACTTAATGGAAAAACACACTAGCCTTCATTAAAGAATGCATAGGGATAAACTATTATGAAATTAGCTTTATGGTGGGGGGAATTTTTCAGAACTGTTGGTCTTTAATAGGTAGGGGATATCTCTGGAGAACATTCCTTTCTTTAGTCTTGAACTGCTAACCAATTATGTTAATATGCGTGAGCTCTGATAAATACTGTATTTTTTTTTCTTAAAAAAATAAAAACCTCCTAACACACTTTTCCTTACAGAGAAAACTTCTATGACGTACCAGAAAGAATGAATTTATCCTTTCCAAAGTGCTAAACAAAATTTCCAGGTATATTAAACATTACTATGTCAGGTACTGATACGACGGAAGGTTGTTGAACACGTGGCATTTGTGTGCCGACAGCTCATTCTTGGAACTTCCAGCCCTAATTATATTGCAGTTTGGTTTACAGAAAGCATCCTAGTAATATCTGTACTTCCTCCTAGACAGCTGTACTTTCCCTGTTGGTCTGAAAAAAAAAAGCTTTTTGCTTTGGAAGTGTTTGCTTTACTATGGTGGGATCAGAGATATAGTGCATTGAGTGTATTTTATAGAACTGGTATAGTTTCTGGGTGCAGACTGCATATTTCACACTGTTGAGATACTCAGTTTTTTATGCTTGGTGTATTTACTAACACACCACTTTCTATTTTGTCTGTACTCCCAGGAGGGTTACCAGGAGTTCGGATGGCAAAGAGGGCCCTGAGTTGCGTTGTTACTGAAATTTTTATATTTACTTTGGAACAGATGGCTTTTCTCTACTGCATAGACAGGCAGAACTGCCATATGCTCAGTAGAACCAAAATTTTCTGCTGGAATGTAAACAAAATGGTGGGACTTCTCTGCCCTTTAATTAATTATTCCAAATAATAACCTCCTCCTATTTTGGATGTTTCCCCTTTGTAAATAGCTTTGTAAATAGGATGTTAAACAGGAGTGCACAAATGAGGATGTCCTCCCTGAACAGGAAGACTTTGGTCATGCCTGTGGAGAGTGTTTGGCCATCTCAGTGCAAAACAAATGTAGTAATCTTCCACGTAAATAAAATGATGCAAGTTCTGCATCAAAAAAAAAAAAAAAAAAAAAAAAAAAATCAAAAAAAAACTCCATGTAAGATTCATTTAAAAAATGAAGAAGATTGAGAATATGTTTCTACCTATGCGTGAGTGGCTCAGAGCCTTTGTGGACCAGAAATGCCTTCCTGAACTGGGATATTGCCTTAATGCTGTCCAAACAAGGGGCTGGCTCCAACTGGTCTGCTGAGATCCCTCCTTCCCACAGCACCCTGCAGAAGAAATTGCTTTGGAACAGCATGAGAGTGGGTAAGTAGCACATCAGCTGTGATTCAGCACATAGCTTACAATGGCTTGGCCAAGAGAAAGAGAAGGACTGAAAAAAGTGAGGAGGTCAGACATCTCCAATACCTGATGGTGAAAGACAGCAAGATCTAATTCCAAGAGACACCATGGAAAACAAAAATCCACTAAGAAAGTATTCCTGTAAGTCCTGTGAAATTTTGAAATGTTTCATATTTTATATTTCAGTTTAAATGTAGAGGATTTTTCATCCTGATCTTTAAGTTGCTTAAGGAACAAATCAATTAAGTTTCTCTTCTTTCAGATCACTGTTGGCATTTTGAGATTAACAAAGGTTATACAACCACTCTGCATTTGCTTCTTCCTGCAGTAAAGTGCCACATATATAACACGTCATTTTAATGACCACAAAGTAAGAGCATTAAATAAGTACAAAGTTAGCTTCCTAGCAGTGTATGCTCTATCAGCCATTAACAGAAAGGAATAAAGTATTACTAACAACGTGGAGGGTATGATAGGACCATAGAATCTGCAAATACAATTGAAATAGTGAGGATATAAAAGAGAACTGTATCTTTCAAACAGTATCTTTTTTATAGCTTTATATTTCAAAGTTATTGGTACCTTTTCAAATATACAGTCTTATTACTTTCGTCCTGCAGAATTTTTTTGTTTTTGTTTTTTTGTTTTTTTTTTTGCAACTGAGAAACAAACTAGTGCAAGACTAAAGCACTGTGCAAATCTGCCTTTTTTTTTTTTTTAGTCTGAGTATTTATACCCAGAATTTATCCATACCCTTTGTAAAATCCCCTTCGTTGGATTTTTTTCCACCATAGATTTCTAGTTATACAAGTTGTTCCTGCAAACTAAAAGGTAACCACTGCATAATACAGCATATATGTATCTATATATAATATTTATATGTCCTTTTAAAACAAAAGATGTATGCTATGGCCCAGACTCAGGTGTCTGTTACACCTGCGTAACAGCTAAGAAGTGAGCCTGCTGTGTGAGTGTGTACACTGCACATGCACGTGCAGGTGTATACACACACACATTTTCATTGTTATACTCTCATCCTGCAGTGCTGAAAGTCACTTCTTCCTTATCAGCTCTACCCTAAATCCTCAAACCTCGACAACTCAATACAAGGCATCAAACAACTAAACGATGCTGCTTGCAGCACTGAAATAATGACACCAGTCAACCCCAGACCAAGAGTACTCCCGCCCCAACTCTACAGTTCAGGGGGATACAGAGGGAAGGGAGGGAACGAGAGTGTTCAAGGGAGAAAAATAATAGATAAATAAACCAATATAAGGGATGTGCAAAAGCAGTGTCATGGCACGCTTACAGACTCTCTTTCACACACCCACACGCACACAAAGACAAAAAAAAAAAAAAAAAAAAAAGCATCAGTATGAAATCTTACAAGCGCTGATTGCCAGTAAGGACACTCTTTTTCAGCTTAACAAGACAAAATAGTTTCTTAGTACTGGGAACATGCTGAAGGTAGAAGTATGCAGTAGGTCACCTCTTGAAGATTTAATAAAGCAGCTTTCATGTCAATGCAATAAGTATACACAGAGCCATTTTCTAAACCTTACTACTGATATAGTACAAATGTTCATTACCTCTTCGGTTTACGGTTTGCAGCAATGTATACCTGCTGGGTTTGTTGGGGTATTTTTGGTACAGAATGTAACTGCCCTCAGACAGTTTCTGCCCTTTCTGTTAGTCCAAGGTAGGCAAGGAAGGAGTGTTTAGGTGAAGAGGCACCTCCCGGTGCAGTCTGAGGTCTGGGTGGATGGAATGTGAGACTGTAGTGGTTTTTGGGGAAAAACATTGTTAGAGGAATAAGGTGGGCGAACTCTGAGTTCCAGTATTTATCAAAGCACAGGGAGGTGCCATTGATGGCCAAGGCTTTCACTGCCAAGTTTGGTTCTGCCCCACTGCTATGTGCAGCTGACATAGCCACTGTCTGCAGAGCCTGGGAGGCAGACATAACTGAGAGGGGTGACAAGAGGTTTCTGGAGCTGTTCACCGGTAGGAGTGGACTGGCTTCCTTAGAGGTTGAATACTGGCCTTTCTTCTCCTCTTCAGAGCAGTCCCCATTCTGGTGCTTCTTCACGTGGCGGCTGAAAACAAAAGGGTGGGTAGTCTTGAACAGGCACTCATCGCAGCTGAAAGTCTGGCGTGGAGCATGCTTCAGTTTCTTGTGCAAGTTGAGATTGTCTTTGCGTTTGCAGCTGTAGCTGCACTGGTCACAGTGAAAAGGGCGCTCACCAGTGTGGACGCGCACGTGTTCAATCAGCTTGTTGGCGGTCTTGGACAGGTAGCCACACTGGTCGCACTTGTAATGGTTGCCAAGGCGGTGTTCTCGGATGTGCATCTCCAGCTCCAGCTGATTTGCTTTCACTGTCTGGCAGATCCGACATTTGTACTCCATTTTGTAGTGAGTCTTCAGGTGGCACTCCATTGCTGCAGGGCGGTTAGTGGAGTAGATGCAGAATGGGCACCTGGCACAGAGAAAAGAGAAGTCACGTGGCTTGAAGTTTTATGTTACTGCGTCAAACCTCTCATTCAGCCCATCTCTGCCCTACTAAAGCAGGAAAAAAGTCCTCCCTGTTTGGTTTCTTTATTGTGTTTGGTTCATCTTGACATCTGTCTCTACTTAGATAGAGTACGTTTGCCTATTCAACGGCAGTAGAGCTCGCTCATTCCTAGGAAGGCACCAAAGGAGCATCCCCTTAATCTTCTGGCTTACCTTTGCGGGGCAGGTTCTGCAAAGCAGGCCAGGTTGTGCAGTGGGTGACTGATTCACAGGTACTTTGGGTAACGACATTCCTAGTGTTTGTGCAAAATCACTTTTGCCATTTTCTCCATTCAGAAGTGGTTTAAAGAGAGTGTTTACAGATGAGTATGAAAGCAGCTGTTTAAGACGGAATAAACTTGTAATACTGTATGTACAGCAAAAGCTTAGGAAATACCTTTTATGTGACTTTGAACAATAAGCTTGCTGGGTATCCGGCTAGAAACAGCTGAAAGTTGCTTATTAAGATGATTTGTAGGGATTCCCATTGCTGGGAGATGAGCTAGTCTGTGCTCGGCAATGCTTGCCTACAGCTGCCTCTGCCATGGCAGGAATTGTTCCAATGTGAGAACAGGATGTGGGCTCTGCTTACTCACAGCAGAAAGCTTCCGGACCAGGGTGGACGTGGTAAAGGGCCTCACCCCTGGTTCCTGGACCAGGAAGGGCTGAGAAGGCTGGAGGAGGGAGCCTTGAAAGCTGGGAAGGAAGGCTGAGCTGACCAAGCCCGGACACCATCAAGACTAAAATGCACCAGATTCTGCTTGATGCGGCTTAGAGGAAGTTGGTGAAGACAGCTACCCACCCAGAATATCTGCTGCGTTAAACAAAGCGTACTGGTTTCCAGATCTAGCTTGTGAGCTAGAAGAGCAAGTCTAGGTAAAAAGACACAACTAATGCACCGGGCTGCTGTCTTACAGATGTCTTCCTTGCCTGCTGATCTGCATTCACTGTTTAGCAGCTCTGCCAATTATGCTCTGTCATTTAAGGCAATTTCTAAGCAGATATCCTCTCATTTTGTTTTCACTCACTACAACTGATTGCACGTGCAGGTTCAATTTTATCTTGCTAATGATTGAGAGATTTTTGAGTGAGTGCAGCAAATAATACAGGAGGACAAACAAACAGAAGTAAAATATCCAGACACTTTTCCTGATGCAGCATCAAGTACTCTGATCCAGAGAGGGAACCTGGCACTGAGGCTGCTAAAAGTGGTTAGCTCTACTGCAACAGAGAACTCAGCTGTCTATGCGCACATACCTCTCCTGAGCTGGGTGCTCTCTGGATCAGAATCTCAGATTTTGATCTGGAACTGGAGGAATCATGTTTTTTTTTTTCTCTTCCCCCACAGCAAACAGGAGACAGAAAAATAGAATTTACTTAGATCTCTTCAGGCTCTTCTGGATGCCTTAAAAAAAAAAAAAATCAGAGCTTTTTCTTAGATGCAGCTTTGAAGGTACCTAATTATTACTTGAGTCGGGCAGGAATAACTTATGTAGACTGAGAAGCCCATTCTGTCAGGAAGGTCTGAGTCATAGGTCATGATTTTTCTTCAGTAAATAGAATAGATTCTGTGCAGCTTAAACCCAGAGCGCATGAGATCACTGGCCTGTGCATCCAAGACAGACATCCCATCGTTCTGGCACACTACTTGTTTCCTAGCCTGGTCTTATTCCCAGATTCAGTCATCGTATCTCAATTGATCACAGATTCAAATTTGGGAAACTACAGAGCTGCAGAACAAGACACTGCCTGGCAAACAGAACCAGTTTTCACAAACCTCAGGGCAAACTGATAGAGCTACTCATGGTAACGTTAAATGTGGTGCGCTAGTTACCTGACAGTTACAGTGCATTGAAAACATTAGTTTGTTTAGCAAGAGCAATGCAAGCAGGGAGGCCTGTGCTGGGCTTGAAGTGGCTCCAGCCTCTTTTCCTGCAGCAGCTGAAACAAATGGAGAACAGGGGCGTACATCTTGCATAACATCACATTGCCTGCACACAGGGAGCAAGCATATGGCCCCAACAATCACCCCTCCCCTCAGGGGTCCAAATTTGACATAAGGACACAGTCACTCACTAGAAACATTGCTCTGTACGAACAGAGCCTAAAGGACAGCACCTTAGCCAAAGACAGGGTTTTTTTTTCTTAAAAGAGTGCACGTTAATTTATAGCGATTATTCCAAACATGCAAAGAAAGGCAGTAAAGGATCAAAATAGTTAGTTGCTGAGGAGGGCTGACTTTGCATTAGAATCTACAAGGATTACAAAGCGATTTTGAGAAGCTGACTCCATACTTAGCTGCACAGATTGGACAGGATTTAGATTCTTTGAGCTAGGTCCAGAACAGAGAATGTGGTGCATGCTCTCCTTTGCTCTAATGCCTTCAAAATGCCTCTTAGTTGAACAGCACCTCTGTGCCATGCTGCCTCATTCTCTTAGGACCCATCATGTACTTTCTCCTCTTTGACTTGAAATGGGAAAGGCCATACTTTGTTAAGATCTGTAACTAGGGAAAACTACATATACTATTTGCTGTAATGGTGCAAACCCACGTTAAGGCAACTCTAATGGACTGGGCTTTTATTATCTAAATAACAGAAGCCCCAGATCTGGATTCTCAGACATTTTACTAATCTTTTCTAGTTTTCTTCCTTCTGTCCTGGTCCCCACAATATTAGAGGTGCTTAACACAGTAAAAGTTTGTGTACTTGCTTTCCTTACTTGAGCCCACCAGTGGGGACAGTGTGGCATTTCTTGTGCTCCAATAATTGCTCGGGTGTCTTCATGAACTTGTGGCACACGTCACACTCAAACATCCGTGTGATCAGGTGGATTTGCAGATGGCGCTCAAACATATTTTTTGTTTTGCAGACAAAGTTACAGAAAACGCATTCAAAGCCTGAAAAATGAAAAAAAAGGAAAAAGCATTCCTGATACTGTGGCCGGATCTACTGCATACGAGGTGACAGTTTGTATTTGTTTAATGGGGTTTTTACCTTTCTCTGACTTCTCTTCAGTATTCAGTGAGGTCTGAGTACCAGGCACTACAGAAATGACCAGCAGATTGTTTGAACCCTTGCTTTTTGGAGATACATCTGCATCTTCTTTGCTGTTAGCAGAGTCACTGAGTGCTGACAGTGAAGATGAAGATGGACTGTTAGATTCACTGGGTGTCTTCCTCTCCTCAGCTGAAAAATTGGAATTAGGAGCAATAGCTAGTACAGCAGACTATATGCAATCTCAGTAATCCTGTTTTAAGATTCAGGATGAGTGTCATTTAAAGTTAATTCAAACTTACTTATAAACAAGTCTGAAATCAACTGGTCGGTTAGGGAAGCATCATAATTTCATATCCTTTCATTTTGTAAGTGTTTATAGTAGTATATCCTAGAAGGTATTCTGTCTGTAATGGCAGTGAAAGGACGCATGCAATTCTATCACATAATCAAGCAAAAAAAAAATCCCAAGCACACACTTTGATTAGCTCAGACAATCAATAACTTGTCACTGAGAAAAAAAGCGATGAGGAAGGGTAGAGAAGAATAATGGCACTCTGTGTACTGAGGATGGAGCCTCAATAATGACTGTAAGAAATAACAGCCTGGTCTCAAGATGTATCTGCTGTTGCTAGGAACTCTCATTGAAAATTAAGTGAAAAAAACAACAAAACAAAACATATTTAACTGGATCTAAAGCTGTGGCACTCCAGTGTTACCTTATGTGTGCAATAAGTGTATGAAGTTTGAATCCCAAATAGTATCACACGCTAGAAATGAGCAAGAGTGAGAGTTCTCATATAAGCCTAATCTGGTACATTCCACTCTGAGCCAAAGAATCAGAATGGACAAATTATTTCCTCCCATTTATGTCACGCTTTATTCGGAACTATGTTAAAAACAGACTTTACTAAAATGTCATATTATCTATGTGATAAAGTAAGTCCTCCGATTGAGGCCTCTGCAAACAGCAATATGTATCCAGCTAAAAACTCACGAGTGGCACCTTTAAGTCTAGATAAAAATGTTGGAACGCACTAATGAAATCTGATGACCCATGCTGTCAATAGGAAGGATGACTGGGATATCATACAGAAAGACTCACTGACCTTGGGGACTAGAGTAATAAAAACGGAATGAAATTTAATAGTACAGACTACAAGGTTACGACCTGGAAGGCCAGTAACAAGAATTTTTTGCTACAAATGAGGAGCGCTTAAGTTGGAAACAGTCAAGGAAAACAAAATAAAAAAAGAAGTTGAGCAGAACACAGGATGAATACGAGCTATCAGCATGTTAAAGTCTTCAAGGAAGGTAAATATGATCACAGAATATTACTGTGTGAGTTATTCCCAATAGCTACTGCTGTTTTACTTTGCCACCACTACTTATTCCAACTAAATATGCCATGTGCAGCCATGGTTGTGTATGCCAAGAATGGGGATCTAACTCTTGTGAACACACACAGTGAAGGACTGGTACTTTGAGAAGAGTATTTCATATAAGAAAAGGCTCAGTGAATATTTTGATGGGAGAGGGTTGTTCTCCAGAAATACAGGAAGGGAATAAATACTGTGGGAGGGGAGACAAAAGGTAAAGGAAGGTGAGCTGATGTTTCAGATTGAAGGAAGTTCTGACAGAAAAGAATGTGTGTGAGTCCTGATTGTTACTAAGACACATGCTGGGGATTTTAAGAAGGTACCTCAACTTAAATACCAGAAAATCTGCAGTGATCTCTCTGTGGGCATAGCTGGTCCAAAACAATTCTACTTGCCTGAAGACATATGCGAAGAGCCTTACTAACAGGCCTTTTATGACTAAGTAACCTTACAGGGTAGGGACTGGAGACAAGTGACCCAGAAAACCCACTGTGTCTTTTTCCTCCATTACGTGCCATATGTGTAAGCAGTTGGTGGGATCTCCTGCTGAATAGCTCAATTTGACAGAGTGAATGAAGAACAGATAATTAAAAGACAAGCTTAAAAAGACAAGCAGCACCTCCAATATTTTAGCCACAACAGGAAGATACATTCAAGTACAACTCTTTTGAGCTCTGATGCAAACTTTTCACATGGCTATAGCTGGCATTTCTCCTTCTACATGTGGAGATGGATGAAAAAATTGGGTGAAGACAGTGTGAGTGCAGGGAGATGGGAGTAGAGTTGTAGTGCTGAAAGCTACACTGGCACAAAAATTTGTGAGGCATTCCAATAATTTACCATGCATTATAAGCACAGACATTCTTCTCTCCTTTATCTCTTTCCACCCTTCCTATCTTCCCAGTTTTACCCTTGACACAAAGAGCAATTTAATAATGGGAAAACTGTGCTGGATGCAGTTCAGCTTCAGTACTGTCAGCGCAATTACTAGTAGTTTGTGACAACAAAATTCTTCTGTTTGGTGGTATAAAATAAATCAACTGAAAGCATTCTAATTTTCTCCTCCTTAAATTATGCCAGGCTTCACTAGTTGGACTAAGCATATGGAGCTTGTTTGAAAACTGCTGTTGCTCTTATCTTTGGCTATTAAGTGAGTAAGAACAGGACCAGGGAGAAGATTTGCTCTGGTACTGAATATAAAGTGACATTTAAAGTATTTCTGAGTCACAACATCAAAGAAACATCAACAGGAAACTCTGAACACACCAAGAGCAAAGCTCAGTCTATTACCTATAACCTTAAAGCCAGATATGCAAAGTTAGTGCTCAAAGTTGCCTTATCATCACTGAGGTCAAATCAGGATTCTGATGAAACAGTAAATCAGTCAGAAAAACAAACAACGTATGTTAACTTCAGCAAGGGAGGAGATTTGAGGGACATGGTGAAGTAGTCCTTCATTTGTCCCCTACACTTGAAAACTGATCTGTACTAGCAAACTATTTGCCTGGCTTCACTTCAGCTTTAAGAGATCAGGCCTTAATTAGCAAGCATTGCAGTGAAAGTAAAGAGAGTGTTTATGAGAAGTGTGAAGGTTGCACCTAAAAAGCAGGGAAGAGAGAGATCACTGCAGCTGGGAGATGGGGATCATCACCTGTGTGCTTGCTGTTGACATGAGCCTTCATATCTGCCTCTTCCATGGTGACAAAATCGCATGCTGTGCAGCAGATCGAGAACATCCACTGCTCCTTATCCACATGAAGGGACATATGACTGACAAACTGGACATTCATCTCCGTCTCAAACCCACACACGTGACAGCTGCAAGCAGAAGGGAATTCAAGAGTAAGAAGCATTAAAAAAAGTTAACTGCAAATAGAAGAATATTATCCTTCCCTTCATTTTGCAAAAAAAAAAAAAAAAACAAACCAAAACACCTCACTGCACAGTTCTCTTCCTCACTGCTGAATGTTCATTGGAAAATTGTCTGCTGAACTGCTTCTGAACTGATGGCCATGCCAACGTGATTAAGGGCAGGCGCAATGCAACAATCCTGTACATGCTATAATGATGCTAGATAATCATAAAGTTAATTAAAAACTACAGATTCCAGATGCTGCACATCACCTAGCTGATTCCTTTGGGCAATAAGAGGCACCGCAGCTTTGCCAAGACGTTTAGTATGGCTGATACATTGACAAACGGAAAGCGTGCTGCACACTCCAGGAGTTATTTTCAAGCCCTGGAATGGTTCCCATGCCAAACTGGGATCTTGTGCAAAACTGCCTGGCAGTTTCAGTGTAAGCAAGTAAAAATGGTTCAAACATTTCTTATGCTTGACTGGAAAACAGCAGTCCTCAGCTATACAAATAATTAACAGGGAGACAGATTTCACAGCCAATGCATAAACAGAGTGATATTGAGAAGCAGTGGAAGGAACCCTTTAACTTTCTGGCAGTCCTCCTCTTGTTTTTTTAGGCTATCACAATTTAAAGCAAGCTAAAAACATTTTAAAAGATGTATACTACTTGGCTTTCCCAGGGGGATGGACTAGATAATCTAATCCAGAAGGATTTAAAAATTTATTTATTTATTTATTTTTACTTACATGATTTAGTAATTAAATCTGCTTGAAGCACTCTGACTGAAACTGAGAGTGATTTTGTACTCTGCTTGGCCACTAGGGTGCATAGCACAGTTTGCAGAACACACAGCACTGCATACAAAAAGGAGAATACCCAAATAGCCATTTCATCAGGGTAGTTCCTTTCAATTTTTCTGGTCCTTTTTTCACAATGCTGGTCACAATGTATATACCTCTAGTAAATAGGAAAATGTGTATGTTTTATTTTAATACAGTACTCTGACTTCATAGATTTGGTTGTAAAGAATAGAGCTAACAGTGCTTTAGATTTGCCATGAATCTACAAAAACAGTGGGAAGTTCCCAAGTGCAAAACTTAAAAGTTAGAGAGGCTTCTAGGACTCTATTTGACTCACAGAACCATTAAAAAACAACATTAACAACAAAACCACACATGCCAAAGAACTCTGTCCTTCCCAATGACAATCCAAGTCACACAGCACGAGGCAGCCAGCTAGTTTTGCTGTTGAGCTCAAAGTCAGATAGATATGGGCAAGGCAAATACATTCAGTGCAGTTTCACCCTGGAATACCAGAAGAGAGGTCCTGTAACAGCCTATGAAGGCAGCAAATTCAAATTTCTTGAGTCTGGTGCAGAGCTCTTGCCTAGGTCCTCACCTGTAATAGTAAGGGTGCTTCTTTCCATCACTGCCTTCAGAAGTGACAGCGCTGACAATGTCCTCAGTGTCTGTACTCACCAGCTTCACAGAATGGACGGTCAGGTGCTGGTTCAGATTAGCACGGCACTTAGCAGCGTAGGGGCACAAGTGGCATTTGTATTTTCTCTCTTCTGAGAAAGAAATAGAAAACCGGCCATGTATACTTCATTTTGAAGCAAACTATTGTTAAAGCTTCCAATAACCAAGTATGCATTCCTTTGAGTTTCTCTGAGCAATTTCCTGAATAAGGTACTTTGGAAGCTAGACATTTTGGAAAATTATAAAAGTTCACAGCAATTACTCAGGGAAAAAAAAAAAAAAACACCTCATTTGGAAGTAGTTTAAGGCTGTATTTTTAGCATGCCCTACCATTTGTAGTCGGATATTATAAAACTTTACAAACTGGAAAAGTGGGGTAATTGCTGCACTGAGAGCTGCAGCAAAGCCAGTACAGAAACAGGTCAATAAGCTGCAACTACTTCCTTTACCCAACATCTTTTATTTGAATTTTGGGTCCACTTATTCTTGAGGTTGCGCATATGATCACTTGCAGAGTTGATGGTATTGTATTAAGATCTGAGGGTGGGCAGGGATGAAAGGGACTGCTGGCTCATTAGGCCAGTTCTGAACACAAGCTAACAGAAAGAACAAAAACAAAACCAAAAAACACTCAAAGAACAATTAAAAGAAATTAAACATGAGTTTCAGTGCTTTACAGCTTTTAAAATAAAAACGATTTCATTTCAAATTTAACATTTCTAATTTCTGGCAGCAATTTCTTTGTGCATGCCAGGCTTCATATTGTGAAGAGCTGATTAATAAAACAACCAAATATTACGTCAGCTTTTACAACCCTCTCCGTTGAAGTGCTGCTGCTCTCTATTTGAAACATAATACAACAAGTGCTAGGGGGAAGAACTTCAATAGAGCAGCTCTGGATTAAGAAAAGTCCACAAAGCTAAGGAACAAGAGCATCTGAACCTTTCCAGCGTGGCTGTACTAAGTGACATGTACTGGCATTATACCAACAATATTTTTCAGCACTGCATTAGAAATTCTTGCTTTCAAGTCTTGTTTTGTGCAGTGCATCTCAGCAGGCCGACAAAGTGTATCTTCCATATAAAAATTGCTCGTCTCAGTTGATTTGAATCATTGGCTTTAAGGGAGCTGGTACAAACTTGAACAATTGCTCTTAAAAACAGTAAACAATAAGAGCAAAGGTGAATGACGGTATTGAATCCTATCAGTTCTACTGTATCTGAAACATCAAAGCCAAATCTTTTGTTGTTTGATAAGAAGCTCATCAAGTGAATGTAAGAAAGGCTGGACAAAGGCTGGACTTCAGAACTGTGCTAGCAGATTTGGTTAAACAGCTGATATTTACAGGTTCATCTGCAGGAACTTAGACCAACTTGAACTTGCACATTTTGTAAAGATTAATTACAAGTTGGCGGTAAAGAAATGTTAGTTAAGTCCCCAAGCACCTCTGCTGTGGCATTCTGGCCTGTTTCTGGTCTTGGCTTTGCTCTAGCAAAAAGGTGAACACAGCTCATTCTACACACACTCTTCTGCTTATCTTCTCCCCATCCATCTTAAATAAGCTATGATGAACACAAGGATTTCCTCAGTGCTGAACAATAACATCAAAGCATTGGCTTACCTGTGTGCAGCGAGAGATGGCGGGACAAAGTCTGCTGTCGACCAAACACTTTTCCACACACTTCACAGGGAAAGAGCTGGTCATTAAATTTCCACGATGGCAATCCGTTTCCTGCCTCCAACCCTAGCTTTTCAGTTTCTGCGCCAAAATACACACAAACAGAAAGCTGTACTTTAACAACTCGGAAGACTCAGATTTCACTCAGCATAATCCTGTAGGTATGATATAAAACACAGCACCTTGGCTGCATGCTCATCTGACACGAGTTCATGAAAAAAGGAAACTTTACTAATGATGGAAAGGAAATAAATCTTTCATATCTAATCTTCCATATATACTGTAAAGCACAACACTTACTAGCTAGACATAGAGTTGAACCAGATTACGTACAGAGTGAAACTCAAAAACCTGCAGGGAAAAGCTTTAAACTCCAATTTTGTTTTTGTGGAGAAACTATGCCTTCGGCTTGTTCACTCACCCACTTTCACCCGGTGCATGAAGACCCAGTCTGAGATGGTGGTTAATTTTACACTGGATTATTATTCATGACTGAAGGAAGACCACCAAACCTTTCATTTTCAACTGATGTAGAAACTACTGCATGTATGAGCAGTCTTCCACTGAAGGAGAGCAGAGGATTGCTCAGACTAAAATTAAGTGAGGAGGGCACAGCATGCCAGTAAGTGGCTGGCACCTGGGGTAAGCTCTAATCAGTAACTTCTGTCCTCAGGCATCAAAATCTACAGCAGCCCAGAGGGCTGTCCATTGAAAAACTAAGACCTTTTGAGAAATGTTATCTTTATAGAAGTGTTACTAGTAGTTCCAAGAACGGAGAGAGTCTACTGTAGAAAACAGGTACTCCACACAGCATAAAACAGTCATAAAGACACCCTCCCTGTAAGGATGCAGAGAGGAAAATCATACACAGTGTTTCAAAAAGGTGGTAAAAGCATCTGGACAGAAGGAAAAAAAAGCCAGCGAAGATGGAAGTAGTGATACTACTCAGACTTATATGAGAAAGAGTGTTAGCAAATCTTGTGTGAAGAAATATTTTCTGCCAGTGTCCTGTTGCGCCTGAAGGAAGGGACCACTGCAGATAAGTGACACAAAACTTGAGGGCTTTCAGCAGCTTCCTAAATACAACGGCTGAAGTAGGACAGAAGGAGTGGGAAGGTTGGCTTAGGACTTACCAAAAGTAGAAGACCTCCTATTTCTCCTAGAATGGAAGATGAAACATGCAGAACACCCTTCTCTAATCCCACACCACCTGTGGCACCATTGCCCAAAACTACCTCCCTTGGTGTGTGTGATGGAAGAAAAGCATTTAGCTGGTGTGTTCAGGTAAACAACAGGAGAGGAACTGAGAACAGGAGTGCAAAAACATCTTACTGAGCTAAAGTTGCTATTCTAGAGTCAGGCACAAAACAGTAGACTCTTCATCCAGTGAAACACAAAGGAGTAAGCACCCGACTTGCACAGGTAGCATCACCTACCACTGCATATCTGGCAGGCATGTCTGGAAGAGTCCTGCTGACAAATAGGCACCCAGCTGGCTCTAGTATGATTTAGGTAAATGGTTGTCAAATACTGTAATTAATTTAAACAACAATAAAAACAATGCCTCACTTAGGGCAGAGATTCCACACAGCAATCTCAACCATTTTAGGGACAGTCGTAGTTTCCAGCCCCTTTCAGCCCCTATATACAGTATTCAAGATAGGAATTATGAGAGCACATCTGAGTACTGCTGTCCAGCAACACGTTTTTTCTTACAGAATTCCTAGTTGGGAAACAAGTTCTGCCTCTTCAAAATAGTCATTTTTGTGAAATTAAAAAAAAAAAAAAAAAAAAACTCTCCCCAAAGGGATTGTGACCCTTAACTTCCAAAATCTTCAATAAAGAATAAATCTTTTTATTACTGTCCTCGAGTTCAAAACAGTGGAAAAATCTGACTCTGTACTAACGTTACAGTTATTTTAACAGATCTTCTTCAGTACACAATCAAAACAGTGCTTCAAAAGAGGAATATGGTAATAATTATAATAGAAGGTCACAAGGGTGCAGGTTGCTTCGATATGCTCGCAACAAAAATGAATTAATTGGGACACATACCAAACAAGTCGGCGCAATTAGATGTAAATATGTCTTTTAACAATTCATTTCAGCATTAGTCATCAGCCGTCTCAGGAAAGAGAAATATCCTCTTCCCTATTGTGGATTTATAGCTATCAGTTCTGGGAAGCTCATAGGAAGTTGGAAAAACACCAGCTTTCTGGTTATCTCAAGCTGGGGAAAGCTAGTCCCTTGCAAAAGTGCTACATACTTTTCACTGACACAAAAGAGGATACTGCAGGTGTTTTGAAAGTGTTTATGTTTACTTTACAGTCCTAGCTGCAGTACTTATTTCTTTTTCTACTGAATCTTCTCTCTATAGCCAAGTGTTTTTTCTATTCAGCAAGTTTCTTAGCTTGGTCACAGGAAAACAGAGCTGGTCTCTGGTACCACAGGAGCCTCAGCATTTCATGGGAAGCCTTCTCCTTCAGCCTCCTGAAAGCTCTGTCTGCAGCTGAGAAACTGAAGCTCGGCATCCATACAGTAGTCCAGGAATCTTCCCCAGAGCCTACTCAGTAACTGACCTTCACAGTGACCTCGGGAATTGGGTGAGTCAGCATCCACAGTCAACCATTGGGCTCTGCCTCTAATTAAGGCTGGGAATGATCCAGTGACTCTGAGACCATAACACTGTATTATGCACACTGTTCTCTGTGTATCCCAGTGCACTTTAGCAAGCCACTCTGTATCATTATCTATAAAGAATACCTCACACAGAGGGTCATTCAGTGGCCAGGAGGAAGATGGACTGAGACCAACTAATGTTAAATAATAAATCACCATTGTAAGACATATCCCACAGAACCCCAACTTCCACTAAGACATTCCTATACTAAAAAAAAGAGAAAGAGAAAGAGAAAGAGAAAGAGAAAGAGAACTTGATGTAAGATTTCTGCTTTAAACAGACATTCAGCAAATTCCAAAGTTCTTATGTTAAAAAACGAATATGACCGAATAATATTGAAATGGAGTTTAGAACAGAATATTCTTAGTAAAATGAAAGGCCTCTAAGTTCTCCAGTACACCATTAAAAAATAATAGAAAGTTTAAGTATATTAACAGTTAGTAATGAAATTACTTTGAAATAGTTTTAGTTTTGCATAAATGATTTAAGAGCTTTTTTTTTCTTTTCTAAATGTAAAACCTAATTCTCAGTGAAATTTAGTGAAATATATTTTTATGATCAACATTCCTGCCATTTTATGTCACTTAGTATCACTTCTGCCAGCCCCAATTCAACCTGCTAACAAGTATGCGCGTTAAGGCTCGCATTCATTCAAGACAGGTTAGAAAGGGTTAGGACTGTCCCCATTTGATATTTCTCTGAGGTGAGAATAAGGCAGGCAATAACTGCAGAAGTGCTGTTCCATCCCTCCGCTTACTCCTTCGTATGGGACCTGCTGAATCACAGCCTGAACCTTAGATTGATCACCTGAGGCAAGCACCGAGTCAGCTGCAGGAGCACAGGTAAAGGCAATTCACCTGTGTGATCAGAAGGGGTGGAGCCTGATTGCACCTCTCCTAGACCCCATTTAAGGGCTGACTGCCACTGGGGAAGGATCTCTTTCCAGAGATTGCTCTCAGGAATTTTTTCTGTAACAAGGACACAGATGAGCATTTCACTATTTTTTGATTATCTCTTTCCACTGTGATAACCTTTCTAGTTACACAACCTGTAAAATACCAGCCTAACCATACCACTCTGCTAATTGTATGTTTGTTGAGTGTATGCTTCTTTAAATAGATTGATTTCTGATAGATAAAGCCCACTGGCCCAAGAACTACTGCCTGCCCCTTTCTATCTGTTAGACATAATTCTGAACAGATACATATTTGCAGTTTTCACATTCAGTGGTGAACTCATTTTTCTTCTCCTCAAGCTGGTAATATCAATATTGAGAGTGCGTTAACCACCCCTTTAGAAAAGCCTTAGCCTGACTTTTGTCAAATGCTGAGAAAGGATACCCCATCTGGTTGAAGCTGTTTGTGAAGACAAGTACAAAGCATGACCTGAAATCATTAATAACTGTTGAGTGTCACTAAATCAGCACTGTGACTGCTACGAGTTCTCACATATAGAAAAGCTTCACAATAAATGGGAAAAGTCTCTGAAAGACTCTGGAACTTTAACAGTCAGCCGATAACTTTTGGTACTGCCAGCCTGAGATGCACTGCAGCTAGCCTGTCCTCTGTCATCCTTCAAGCACCTCGCTTTTACCCAAGAGGGAAATAGACTGTATGCAGCTGTGTATGAACGTCACAAGAACCCATTTTTAGGATTATTTCTATTTTGTTGCATCTAAAATAAGTTCAAGAAATGATTTATTCAGAAACAAGGTGTTCAGGTTGAGCAATCATGCAAACGCTGCTTTAAGAACATTTGGCTAAAGATTCTTCTCTCTGCATTTATCTATGTTACTATAACGTCTTCCTGCACTCTGTGGTCTGCATCATAAAAGATGCATTTGATTGCATGGGAGCCTTCCACTTACGTGTTCATCCATCACCTCTTGCAAGCACGCAGTATATTTAAAAATCGAGCGCTCCTTTTTTGGAATGTGTAATTGAGTCTTTGCTGCAAGCCTGTTTGCTGAAAGCCTGAGAAGGGCTTGTGAGCTCAAAAATATACTGACTATATGAAACTGCAGCACTCCAAACGCCATGTATTTTACTCCCTTCTCAACTTACTTTCACAAAGGCATTATTTGTGGCACCAGATTTCTTATTTCTAGTAAGTCAGTTAAACAGCAGATTTATTCCAGATACCACAGTTCTCAAGTAAGATATGTCTTACTAGTTATCTAAAGTATCTGTGATCCTTAGTGTCCCAGCAGTCTCCATTTGTCACTGCCAGCAATACAGCAACCTGCCTGGTCTTATTTTGGGGTTTACCTCTTACTGTGAGCGTATTCATCCACTATTAGCCAATAATAAGCAACTGCTTTTTGGCATAAAAATATTTCTCCATTCCCCAGAAAAATAAAAAAAAATAAGATTTTTAATTTTTTTTTTTTCAAATCCACAAG